ACCCCTAATCCCAGCAGCACTCACACCCCTAATCCCAGCAGCACTCACACCCATAATCCCAGCACTGGATCCTGAATTAATCACAAACTCTAGAAGCTGCATGAGGCTTTGGGGGGAAAACTTGACACAAACAGTAACAACTATTATGGGAATAACAGGTACATTTGAAAGCAGATGTAAAAAAAAAAAAACAAAAACAAAAACAAAAAAAACCAAAAACTAGGAAGAATGTATGCAATGTGTTAATTATTGAAGCTGTCCTAACAATTTGTTTTGAAACTGTCTCATTGCTCTTTCTCAATAAAATTATGGAAAAAATAATAAATAAAAATAAAACAACAGCAACAACAAAAAAAAGAAAGCAGATGTATTTTGTTTTGTTTGCTTGGTTAATTTTACTAAGATATATTGTGCATCTGCTGCACTTGTCTGTCGGAAATTCTCGCTTACTGACAATTCAATGTAGCCTCTCCAGGTGAAGAGTCCTTTGAAGACTTGACTGAAGAAAGCAGAAGGCTGGCCTGGAACAACATCACCAAGCTGCAGCTGCAGGAGCAGTATAAGACTCACAAAGAGTAAGGACCGTCCCTGTGTTACGCTACTGCGCTGTGGTCTTGGCAGAAGTTAGGGTCTTAGCGTATTGAACTGTTTCAGTTTGAGTCGTGAGAGAAAATTTCCTTTCAGTGTTATGTTTAAGGTTTCCTTGTTTTTTCCCCGGATTTGGTGCAGATCTTACTACACAGCTCAGACTTGTTGATCCTCCTGTTTTTAGCCTCTCCGTTGTGGGATTACAGGTGCGCCACCACACCCAGACTAGTGGCTGGCTCAGTGTGCTGGGGGCGGGGCCAGTGAGGCCAGTGGTGCCAGGGATCAAACCCTGTCCTTGCACTTGCCTAAGCAGGTGCTTAGTTTGCTGAGCTATCTTGCCGGCCCTAGTATCATGTTTTTTTACTCCTCAAATGTCTTTTCCTTTTTTTTAAGTAACAAAAAGCATGTTTTATTGAAAAGTAGATTCATAGCGTTTCTGAGAAAAACATTTATTGCATTGTCATTATCAATAAATATGGTAGACTTCTAAGAATTAGAAAATATATAGTCTCAAATATATAGAGCAAGAGAACTAGAAAATATCTGAGACCAAATGATTGAAGGGTGAAACATAATAGAGGTAGAAGCATTGGGCAAAATAATGTGTAGAGTCAATGAAATTTATTACTGAGGTTTTTAGGGTGATAAATTCAAGATACATTTGGAGAACACAGGTGGCTCAAGCCTTTCTTTCCCCCTGGTTTTCCTAGACTTCACTTGTAGTGATATAGTAAATAAAATCCCAGCAGTACAATAAGGCATGAGACAAAAAGGAGTGACTGGTTCTTAGGTAACCACTAATCCTCATAAAGAACAATCACTACACTTACACTAAGGACTGTTGGCCAAAGAGGAAAATCCCAAAATTGTCAGGAAAAATTGATCAACAGCAATAATAGTCAATAAATATCAAAACGTTTTGTGACGGGAGCTATGCTGTAATTAGCATGTATTATCTGATTTAGTCTATGACAATTGGTAATAAGTATCAATAGTTTTTTCTTTTTAACAGGTAAAATATTAGCTCAAAAATGTCAAATAAGGGGCTGGAGAGATGGCTCAGTGGTCTAGAGCACCTACTTGGAGCAGGCTTGGCAAAGCACAGGGACTGCGGTTCGATCACCCAGCACCACATGCCAGCCAGCCGCGCCCCCCTGGTGGGCTGAGCTGGCCACACACACACACACACACACACACATACAATAAATGTTAAAAATAAAAAAAAATTAAAAAAAAATGTCAAATAATAGCCTTCAACTCATACAGCTAGAAAGTGAGAACTGGCCATTTATCTCAAACAAACAGTCTAGTAGCAGATTGTATGGTGTTAGAAGCTGTGGGTGAGGGCATGTTTCAATTCTGGCTCATTTTAGGATGATCCCAAGAGAAAAAGTGATGGAGAGAATGATGGATTAGTTATTTTAACATCTATCTCAAGACTTTCATGAGGCAAAGAGTAGAAATTCTTAAAGCAACTTCAAAAGAAAACTATTGAAGTTTGATTATTTAATTCTTTTAAAATAATTTTATTGAGAAACAAATAGCAATGAGATAGTTTCAAAACCGATTAGTAAGACAGTTTCAATAATTAATGCATTGCATATTGTTGTCTCCTTAGTGGTTTTTTATAGTACAAGATGCAGACATGATTTAACACATCTATACTTGATGGAAAATACCTGCTCCATGTTATATCTAAGATGTTTGATATTCAGACAGACAGTGAGGTTAAGCTCAACTGCCTATGTTTTAGGGTAATAATAATAAGCTTCTCTTCTGGAGGGTTAACAGCTTAAGTTTACAGACCAAAAATTAGAGAAAAAGAAGGGCTGCAAGAATTTTGGCCCTACCCTTGCAAGGTCAGTGAGGACTCAGGACATAGTAGAACCTGTACTATAACATCATGTAACTCAGTTCTGTCCCAAATTTTCTGATCAAGGAGATTATGGGGCCACAGAAGAACGTGATCGATGATGTAGAGTGTGCCTAAGGAGAGTCACGTGGAGAGAAAACATTCTCTCAGATTTTCACAGAGAGCAAATGGGTCAAGCAGTGGCCATGACTCATCCACATGGCTGACACTGACAAAGGATCAAATGTCTTAAGTGATCTGCTATCTGAAGTTGATGTAGCGAGAGAAAGTTTAACACAGAATGATTGGTGTTGACCCCAGGACAATGCTGTCAGTGTAGGATATGAGATGGTGTCTCAAGATGGCAAGTAGCTCTGGGCCTCTCAACCTGCCCCTTGGATTTCTGATGGTGTCAAGCTATGGGACAAGTATGGTCTATCAGTGTTAAATTTACTGAAAATATAGGAAAAATACAGGGGCCAGGGGAGGCAGAAAACTTTTCATTGCAAAGTTTATGTGAATTTTTGAAAATAATACCTGTACATCTGACAAAATGGGCTTGCTCTTGAGCCCCAAGGAGAAGGCATTTCTCCCCATCCGCTCCATTAAGAGTGTTCATCTCCCTGCTGGTAAGAGAAGTGCTGGCGCAGCCTGGCTCAGCCTGCTGCTGTTGCAGAAAGCCCAGGCCCAGAGCCTCGCCCCCTCCTGCTCCATGGCCATCAATTGGTGACAGGCAGTGACCGCCCATGGCCGTGTGCCACGGCTCATGAGATGATCTGGATACGCTGGGCACCGCCTTTGCTGCCAGCACATGGCTGCAGCCTACAGCTCTGTGTCCTGAGGTGAAGGAGCTAGTTCTGCCGTGCTCATTGATTTAACAGTGGCAAATGGCACATGGGGGAAGTGAAGCGGCATGAAGTCCAACATAGTGGAGACAGGAAGGTGCCGCCAGCATTTCATTCATGTGATATTCAGTGACCCCTGAGTGGCGTTAAGTGGAAATGCTAGAACCTGGTGTTCATATCATTGAAAGATGCAAGAGAAATGACATTTAGGAATGAAGCCAGCAAAGTGATCATAAAGAAGAGGCTCAGTCATTCTGGTGATGGTCAGATCAGATTGAAGGGAAGCATTTTCAAGTTGTCAGAAGCCTGTTAAGGAACTTGTCAAAAGTAAATCAAGAACCTGGAACAGAGCAAGTGTCCTGATATACAGCTAGTAGCATATGGCTGATAGTAATTTGTAAAACTTACCTTTGAACAGGGCCGTTACAGGGATAGCAGTCTCTCGCAATGGGTCTTCCGTCTTCACGACGTCACAAGGTACGTCTTCCTGCTGGCAAAGTGGCTTCGCCAGAATCCAAGCTCTGGAGTTTTTGAAACCTCAGTCAAAGACCTGCATCTCCTTCCTCCATACAAAGTAGACTCAGAACCATTTCTTTGTGGTGTTACATGGAATTTCATTGTCATGCTCTAGAAACAAAATCAGAGGCTCTTCTCTTGCTCATGAATAAAGAGACAGGGCGGAAGGGTGTCCTTCTCCTGTCTTTTTTTTTTAGTTTTTAAAAAAATCTTTTATTTATTTGGTACAGGGTCTTGCTACGCAGCTTGGACTCGTAGTGATCCTCCTGTCTCAGCCTCCCCAGCACTGGGATTATAGGTGTGCGCCACCATGTCTGGTTTCGGTGGCTAGTGTGGCATGCCCAGGATTCTGGGGCCGGCATGGCCTGTGATATCAGGGATCGAACCAGGGTCCTTGCGCTTGCCAGGCAGGCACTTCACCGCAAAGCTATCTCCCCAGCCCCTTGTGTCCTTCTTCATCAGCTGTTTCCCACAAGAGGGGCCAAGTCTGCTTGCTGGCTCTGCTCAGGCCTGGAATAGAACATGTGCTGTGAGCCTTGGGGATGCAGCTTGGTTGTTATGCTTTCCAATCCTGTCCCTCGCCTCATCTCTTTGGGATGTTTTTATATGTTTTAGCTCAAAATTCAATATATTACTAATGTGCCTGCACATTGTCAAAAGTTATAAAAAAAACCCCTGCAGTACATGGTTGGTAAGATGTGCATTTTAATGATACTTTGTAATTTGGCTGCCTTGATCTTAAACATAAATAAGCCAAGTGCATCTCTTGTTGTAGCTACCTTTCTTTCCTGGGTAGTCTCTGTAATATAATTAAAGTGTGTCTTGTCCCTGGTACATTCAGAACACTGGGTCGTTTCCTTGACGATGTCCTGCTTCAGTGATAAAAAAAAATGTAGTTCTGACAAAGTTAGTAGCTGTTTTTAATGAGACTACTTGTTCTTTCATCCTTATTTATAACAGATTATATATTTGATCTGTTGAGAACTAATGTGTAACTAAGCACATAAATCAATTACCATTCTCCAGTTCTCTTATCATTTCTGTTATCTGTAGCATTTCATCCCTTTCTCTTCAAATATAGTCTCAACGTTTATAAATCAGTATTTCCCACAATGTGTAGAAAATGGCTCTGCAGTTTCCGTGAGGAGCTTGTCGTGTAGACCTGATGTAGCCACATCTGGTAACGGAAACTGTGTTCTGGGTTTGCCAACTTCGTGGCACTCCACAAAATGCTGCAGCTTTAAGCAAAGCCTGTGAGATTAGCTGGATTTGTCTGATGTGGTTTGTGAAATCCTTTGACTCACTGTACTCTGTGACCTTGTGAATCTTGAATTTATGAGCATAAATAAATAAATGTAATAAATAAAGAATTTAAAAAAAAAAAAAAGAAGAAGAAGTTAGTGATTGTCTCCCATGAATGCTAGTTCAGTTCAAGGTTGTCTTGCTATAATAGGGCTATTATGGTATTTAATTGCCAAGTTTTTTGTTTTGTTTGTTTTTTTGTTTTTGTTGTTGTTGTTTTTGCGGAACCGGGGATTGAACTCAGGCCCTGGTGCTTGCCGGGGAAGCGTTTATTCCACTGAGCCACCTCCCTGGCCCCTGCCAGTATTTTTTAAATATTAAAATTGTTGGGGGCCTGGCCCTAGCTCAGGCCTTTAAGTGGCTGCTTCCACAAAGCTGTCAGCCTCAGGTTGCTGAAGTTCGAACCTCACACCTCTCCCGCTGGCCAAAAGTGCCCTGAAGGCATTCGAGGAACCAAAAAAAAAAAAAAAAAAAAAAAAAAAAAAAAAAAAAAAAAAAAATATATATATATATATATATATATATATATATATATTAAAATTGTTGTTTTAGTATTAATACTGCTTTGCTCTCAGTCCCGCTGTACATTTGCTAACCTCAGCTACCCACTCTTCTGCAAAAGCCTCAGCATCTGGGGCTTAAACTGATTTCTTCCTTGGGAGCCAGAGACTGGTAAGGTGTAGGTCTCCCAGCCCTGTGCACACCCAGTCCCCATGGATCACATTGCGCGTTGACCTTCAGGAACAAGCAGAGCAGCTACCCTTTGAAGTGGTCATGGTTAGAAAATTTTTTCTTACATACTTTTCTTACGTCTGCTTTCTTATTAAGATTCTACCTTGAAGATGTTTTCTAAGGAATCCAAAATGCTACAAAGAAGTATATCATTTTCGAATATGGTAAGTTTATCAGTATTACAAGAGAAATTCAAGAAGTTTGTTTTAAACACATATATTTCATTTCTGCCCATACAATTGAATTTATTCCCAGTCTACAGAGAATACCCTAATCTAAATTCAACTTAAAATTTTTTCCAGGTTGCCTCTTTCTATTTTATTGTGACTTTATTTTAGCCTAAAAAATTTGAAGTTACCCAGTTACTAGTCTCTTTATAAAATCTTTAACTGTTGGAAAAAAAAAGTTTATGCATTAAATAATTTGTGCATTTATTCTCAGATAGCTGGATACAAAATGTAACAAACCTATTATTTCTAAAAGAACATGTTTTATTTTTAAATATCAGTCATCCAAATGATTTCAATTCCCTAAGGAATGTCTCAGAATTCTATGATTCTGAGAGGGCATTCCATTCTTAAGGCTTATCCCCATCTGCTGAGTCCTAAGGGTTTACCCTAGGGCATTAATGGGTTTTTCGCCCGTCAGAGCCTATGTCTGCAGGCTCACTTCCCATACTGTGGTGTTTGGGAGAAACCCTTACGTGGGAAATTAGGTGGGTGAGAAAAGTCTGATAAGGGCTGGCTGATAGCTCAGGAGTCTAAATGCCTGCCTGGCATGCCCAAGGTCTTGGGTTTGATCCTTGGTGCCACATACTGTGTTCTGAAACCAGGTGTGGTGGCGCACACCTGTAATCCTAGCACTAGGGAGGCTGAGGCAGGAGGATCACTATGAGTCCAAGCCGTGAGACGTGTACCAAATAATTTTTTTTTTTTTTTGCGGAACCAGGGATTGAACTCAGGCCCTTGCTCTTGCCAGGGAAGCACTTATTCCACTGAGCCATCTCCCAGCCCCAATAAAATATTTTTTAAAAAGAAAAAAATCTGGATAATTATGAGGAGAGTCATCAGAAAAGGAATTGGACAGTTTCATTAATAGTAGGGGGAAATTGCCAGGGTTATAGCTCAGCAGCATGGCAAGTGCAAGGTCCTGAGTTCAATCCCTGGTACAAAAAAAGGGGAGTGGGCTGGGGAGATAGCTCAGAGGCATAAGCACCTACCTGGCAACCACGGGGATCTGAGTTCCAGCCCTAGCCCCCAGAACCAGGCATGGTGGCGCAGGCCTGTAATCCCAGCACTCAGGAGGTTGAGTCGGAAGGATCTCTGGGAGTTTGAGACCCGCCTGGGCGCTACAAAAAGTGAGCACAAGGCCAATCTGAACTGCATAGCAAGATCCTGTCTCAAAAAAAAAAAAGAAATTACAGTTTTCTCATATAGTACAGACTGTTAATGTCCAATCATTTGTTTTTCAGGCTTTATCATCTTGTTTGCTTTTACCAGGAGATGCTACTGTTATAAGTTCTTCTTGGGACAATAATGTGTATGTATCTATGATGCTTGTTCCTTCGTAATTCCTTATGCAGAGGAGCATTCCTTGCAGACATGAGGTATAAAAAGACAGAACCAGGCCAAGGAGATAGCTCAGCGGCCTAAGTGCCTGCCTGGCAAGCGCAAGGTCCCGAGCTCAATCACAAGTAGCAGGAAAAAAAATCTTCCACTGGAAGACATGATGTAATTTCTGAAGAGAATATTACTAAGAGAAGAGAGTGCTATCATTGTACTCAAATGTTACTTGAATCTCATAATTTTTCCATTTGGAATCTTTTTTCCTAAGTTTTAAACTAAAACAAAAATAGAGATGTGCTAGACTGAGAAATTTATAGTTTTAAATAAATTTGAATATTTTAATTTAATAATAACAAGAAATTCGTAGTTTGAATGGAACTTAGTATGGAATCAAGCAGTATTATGTTTCTTAAATATGTGTTCAGGAGTCCAACTTACCCTGGAATACTGTTTTAATAGTTGTTGTCTTTTAGCTATTTTTATTCGATAGCTTTCGGAAGGTGCCAGGACACATTGATGGGGCACGACGATGCTGTCAGTCACATCTGCTGGTGTGACAGCAGGCTGTTCTCTGCATCGTGGGACTCTACAGTGAAGGTTTCTATGTAATTTTTAAAATTAGTAGTTGGAATAAAGTAAACCAATTTACTTGCTGATTTTTTAAAGTGTGCAAGTGACATATAAGAATATTAAACATTATTACTTGTGTTTTTCCTAAAATTTAGGTACCTCTTAATAGAAAGTTTGTTGGACTTTGTTCCACAAAGTTAAAAGGTCTGATATTCATTTGGTGATAGAAAAATGTAGAGGAATTTACAGTAGCAGCCCTTATGTGACATGACAGGAAATAGCAGTTGATCAGTTAGTCATACAATTTCAAGTGACAGTAAGACTCATTAAGATACATTTATATTTGAAGCATACAAAGGCATTTTCATTCACCATTCTTCTGAAGTAGGACTAGGTGAGTGTTTTGTTTAGAACCTTCCACAATTTCCCACATAAATATTCTTCACCCTTTACTACTTCTAACTTGCATTTATATAAAAGAGAGCAATCACTTAAACTATTAGAAATTTCCTTGTATCCCTTTAGATATGCTTTCTTGCCTCTACCTAATTTTAGTAATTTTTTTAATGACCTCTTTTTTGAGTCTCTCACAACATAAGCAGGCATTGTGACACACCTGCAATTACAGTTCCCTAATGTGCACACTGCTTAGACCTTACTGTTAACAGCAGGACGTGAGGGGACAGACAGGGGCACAGAGTCAGCTGTAAGCGAGAGCAGGTTGCCAGGGAAGTGCGCAGGCAGCGGTGATGGGGAGCTCGGCCATTCCCAGCCTTGCCTCTTTGGCAGTTAATGTTTTGGAAACCTGTCAAGTTTTTCCTAAGTACATTGCAAATGACTTTGTATCGCAAGTTTGAAAATAGTGTTTTCACTGTGCTCTGTCATAGGTGTGGTCCGGTGTCCCCGCAGAAATGCCGGGCACTGGGAGACACCAGTTTGACTTGCTGGCTGAGCTGGAGCATGACGTCGGGGTGAGTCCCAGCGGCAAGGCGAGCCTCTCTGTGTCAAGTCTCCACTCTGTTTTTCCCACCAGTTTGTTTCTTTCCCCATTTCCCTAAGAAATAGCGTCTGCCCAACTAGATTTCCAAACCTTTCTTTTTGCTTTTTTGGTCTTTTTGAGACAGGGTTTCACTGTGCAGTGCAGGCTGTCTGTGAACTCACTCTGTAGCCCAGGCTGATCTCAAACACACAGCTACCCTCCTGCGCCAGCCTCCTGAGCACTGGCTTTAACAGGTGTGTGTGCTCCACCGCGCCTGGCCAGAATCTCACTTTCAAATTCAACCAGGTTTCCTGACCCCAGGTGGCAGGGACCATCTGTCCAGCATCCGTCCATCCCAGCTGAGGACAGAAGCCTGTCGCCTGGCTGGGACCGACTGGGCACAGCCTGGCAGCAGAGCCAAAAAGAAGCTTCATTCGTCGCCCTTCCTGCTTTCATTGGTCATGGTCCTGCACATTAAGGCTGTAGTTCACAGCACTGTTTCCCCCTGATGTTAGCATTGATGCCTCATTTTCATGGTTTTCAGGGTAACCGAGGTTGAGAAACTTAGAATTCATGATGGTATGCGGGCGCAGTCTCGTGGAGGCCCCACTCCCCTGCTCCCTCACATACTGTGTGTGCATGGGCCCCATGGGATTATGCGAGGCTGTCAGTGCAGAGCTATTTGGAGACGGCATTACAGTTACCGAGCAATACGACGTTTTCATTTCTGTGTTTGCTTCATTTTAAAATAAATGGTCGTTCGGTGAGATGCTGTTGATACCTCCGTCAGCGATGCCCGCACTGCGTGGTATGGTGGTGGAGTTTACAGGGCATCGCTGTGGCCACACATTGGCGTCAGGCTCTGAGGCCATGTTAGGTGAACACTTAGCACTCTTCTCTTCCTTAGGTAGATACAATCAGCTTAAGTGCAACAAGCGCACTGCTGGCTTCAGGTACTAAAGAAGGCATGGTGACTATCTGGGACCTCCCCACAGCCACTGCTCTGCACCAGATCCCGTGCCACTCAGGGGCTGTGTGTGCTACTGCTTTTAGCCCAGGTGGGTGTTATCTTTTCTCATACCCAAGATGTTGGGTAAATTAGAGTTGTGAAATAAAACTTCAGAGAACATGGCCAGTGATACAAGTTCAGCCTACAGTTATAGGATTCAGCATAACTGAAGTAGTGGTACCAAGGAAAAGCTGGATTGTGTGTTGTGGGTCAACTTAGGGAAGTTAATGTGTAAGATGTAAGTGAACGCCTACCAGGTACCTCAGCGCAGTGTCTTAAGAGACAGGCAGAGGCCATTTCAAGGACAAAATTCCTGAGCTTAAGCTCAAGGAAGATGAGCAGTCTGATTCAGAAGTGAGATTCTTAACATCCAAGCTAAGCCACATTCTGAAGTAATTCCATCTTTTTAAAAATTTATTTTATTTTATTTTTTCCGTAATTTTATTGAGAAACAAATAGCAATGAGACAGTTTCAAGCCGAATTGGTAGGACAGTTTCAATAATTAACACATTGCATGCATTCTTCCTAGTGGTTAATTGCTGTACAAGATGCGGACTTGATATCCTATTTACAAAGACCATTAGAACAAATCCCTCTATTCATTAAGAGAATGTAACTATATATCTATCCTAACCACTTTGAATACACAGATACAAAATGGACATTCATCTGTATCCCCTTTTTTTGTTAAGTTCCATCATTTAAATATTATAGGTGTGTAAACTCAGCAAAATATTCTAAAAGAGTTCAGTAGTCCATAGTAGTATTGGGTCTTCCGCTTCACTGGCAATGTCAGAAATTGTTGACCTGAGTAATCCCGTCTTGCAGACAGCCGCCACATCCTCAGCACGGGAGCGGACGGCTGCGTGAATGTGGTCGATGTGCAGACAGGAATGCGCATCTCCTCCATGGCATCTGACAAGCCCCAGAGGTAAGTACTGGTCTCTGCGCACATGCCTGCCCCCAAGCTCACATGAGGTCCTCACGTGGGACCCCGCTCAGCCACGACAATGGGATTTCCAAGTCATTCTTGCAGGTGTTTCATCTGGGATGGCAGTTCTGTTCTGTCTGGAAGCGAGTCTGGTGAGCTGCTGGTCTGGGACCTCCTCGGAGCAAGAGTCAGTGAGCGCATTCAGGGCCACAGCGGTAAGCAGTTCTTGGGCCCATGTCCGCTCCTGAGCGGCTGCGCTCACCTGGCCTGCGGGCTCCATTGGGGGAGTGCTCTGCCTGAGCCGAAAGCACCCCAGTTCCCCAGGCTGCGAGCACGTCTGTAAGCATCACGTTGCCTGACCGTGTCTTGACCGTGTCAGATTTGTGCTGATGGACATTTGACTCCAGAAAGGCAGACTAGAAATAAAAACCACAGCACAGCTATAGTCAGTTTTTTAAAAAGTAATGCACAACAAAAAAACAGTATGAAGTGAGGCTTCCTACCATTGTCACATCACCAAATCCCAGTCCTCCTGAGTGGAGGGGTGTCCTAGGGACACAGTCTAGGGGTGCTTCTTTTAATGAGTGACTCTATAATACCATGCTCTTTTTCCACCTTTAGTGTCTCTTGGAGATTCATCATCCTCTACATTTGTATTTCTCTTACTGCCACATCTTGTGGCTGGCGTTCGTCTTGTTGTGTTGACTTCCTACTGTGAGCTGTAACTTCTCACCTTCATTTTCTTCACTTAGTTTCATTATTTCTTCTTGCATTTACACTTTAGAATTCTGGATCTTTTCTTTTCCCTCAACTTGATCACTTTACTAGCTCTAATTAACACCTAACCTTTTCCAATGGAAAAGTAAATTGGCAAATGTGGCCGGCCGTTCCCTGCCATCTGTCTGCAGCTTCTGCGTAGTGCACCACGCTGCCGAGACATACTTGCATTTTATTCTATACCCATAAGTCCCAGTTGATTTCACTTTTTAAATTTAAAAATTTGATTTCACTTTACATTTGTATCTCAATGGTTTATTCCTCACATTATACCAAATGGTTTTGGGGGAGTTGGTTTTGTTTGGACAGGGTCTTGCTAGTCAGGCTGGCCTTGAACTATGCAGCCAGGGCCCGCCCCAGCCTCCGGAGGGCCTTGTGCACGGGCATGTGCCACCACACACAGCCCATGCTTTTACTAAGTTGTAAAGGATTTTATCATAAAATCAAGATGAAGTGCAACTCGCTCCGTGAATGAGTGAAGAGCAGGGTGTGTGCTACACCACCTCCTGGTCAACTCTCCTCCTAACCTAAGTGTCTTTTTCTCAGGTGCTGTGACGTGCATATGGATGAACGAACAGTGTAGCAGCGTCATCACAGGAGGGGAAGACAGACAAATTATATTCTGGAAATTGCAGTACTAAGTGCCTTTTCCTCTCGACTATTACAGTGTATTTTTAAACCAGACTTTTAACTGAACTGGTAATATGCACTGACAGTAATCAGCTTTACCACATGGAAAATGTGTGGCTTTAAATCATGGTGACTGCACTGCAAGCTACCAGTTGCCATCTAAGGCAGCGCTGAAATGTCACCTGTGCAGGCAGATAATCATCCCTAGTGTGCTGATGGCCCAGGACAGGACCAGAGGCCAAGGGGCTGACACTCACCTGGCCCAGGGCAGTGCTGAAAGGCATAGCGTCTGGAGCTTCCAAGAGAACATGCGGCGCCTTCTGCTGCTCGAGCCTCTCCCATCTTGGGCTCCTCCTCCGCCAGCAGCTGCCGCTGGGCTTCAGGTGTGTGTGTTTTCACAGAGTGCTTGCTTTACGTAATGCTGAGCCCAGATTCTAAGAACCTGGGGAAGGAGTAGCAGTTCTTGTAACAGTCAAGTGTACTGTGTATAGGAACGGTTTGTATTTCATTAAGCTATTAAATGCTCACCTTTTTATATTAAAAATATTTTTCTGTAATAAAAAATTTTCATTTTAGATAACTTGTAACAAAGATTACTTGTAAGAGTCCCAAGTATTGGTCCTTCTAGAAAGCCCTAGTGACAGGAATATAGTTTTTGTTCTGCAGACCCAAATAGCAAGGTAGCTTATCAAACTGGGAAATGATACTTGAAATTTCAAACAAGGTACAATATATAGTAGCAGCATTGGTCTTTCTCTCATATCAGTTTATGTGATCTGACTTTTTCAATATGGTTTATTTTTTTTTTTTAATTTAAGGGATTCTCATTTTTTTTTAAACATTTATTCATTGTGTGTGTGTGTGTGTGGCCAGCTCAGCCCACCAGGGGGCGGGGCTGGCTGGCATGTGGTGCTGGGGATTGAACCGCAGTCCCTGTGCTTTGTTTAGCTTAGCTTGTTCCAAGTAGGTGCTTTAGACCACTGAGCCATCTCACCAGCCCCTCAATATGCGTTAAAAGCACTGTTGTATCTTGCAGGCAGAATGGTGTAAGAGAACAAATTTGACATAGGGTACAGAACTTTTCAGGTCAGTTTGATCCCTGAACTTGTGGTCAGCAGTGCTACTGGAAAGCCTAGAGCCCAAGGTCCTGCTGTGTGTCGGAAGCGCCCAGGGTGCACCATGCCTGCAAGCCCAGCCGTGGGGTGCCAACTGCACTCACTCTCCAGGTGGGCGGTTCTGTAGGCTGTTCTCAGGCACAGCCAGAGGTAAAGTTCACGTATCCATTTTGCTAAGACTTTTTTTCTTTTTGAGCTATGTCCCCAGCCCTCACATAATCCATCCGATAAGTAGATTAAAAATCTTTTATTTTTACATGTTTAGATAGCATAAAACAAAAATCAGGACAAATGTCATTGGCATTTTTTGCAGGGAGTAATCAATAACATTGTAACAGGAAAACATTCTAAGGCTGTCCCCATGTAGCTAGGCTACAGGTTAAGATTCAAGGGCCGAAATTAAATGTTATCCCACTTAATCTGCACACGAAAGG